GAGTTGAGGGCTGTTTGGAAACTGAAACAGTATTTGCTGTGTGAGCAAGAAGGAGACAGCAAGGCGCCTGGGCGTGGCTTAGCTCAACTGTTCTCTACTAAAGCTGGTTGCTGCTCTGAAACTGAAACTCCTCTGCTTGTGTTTTGCATTTGGAAGAGATTTCTTTTCAGATGGGGAATATATATCTGTCTGTCTGTCTGTTTCTCTCTCTCTCTCTCTATATATATATATAGATAGATAGATAGAGAGAGAGAGAGAGAGAGAGAGGAGAGAGAGAGAGACAAACAGACAGACAGACAGTGTGGGGGGGGTATGCGTATGCAGCTGCTCGTGTGCCGGCAGAAATGGCTCTGCGTGCCACTTCCAACACGCATGCCATAGGTTTGCCATCATGGGTATAGGGTCTCCCACTTGAGCAGGGGGCTGGACTAGAAGACCTCCAAAGCCCCTTCCAGCTTCTTTTCTATTCCCATTCTATTTTCTGTTCTATTCAAAATCTATTCCATTTAATTCTATTCTACTCATTGCTATTCTATTCTATAGTCTATTTCTATTTTATTCTCTGTTCTGTTCTATATTCTATCCGAAATCTATTCCATTTATTTCTGTTCCGTTCTATGCTATGCTATTCTAAATTGTAAGTCAAAGACTTACACTTGTGATAAGCAGACCCCGTTACAGTCCTAAATCGAAGACTACTTGTATCATTGAGAGCACATCAACGGTCCTGCTTCCTTCCTGTCTCGTTCTTGGCCCTGATTTCCCCATAACCCCTCTTAGTGACCGTGAAGCCTTTTAAAGGCAGGAAAGGAAAGACCTGGTTTTAAAGTGGGGCAGCTTTGAATTTCCACTCGAGCTGTTGGAAGAAGGGTTTGTGCTGTTGAACCTGGGGACCTGCCAGGATATCGTGTGGCTAAAAAGCCTCTTAAGAAATCCAAACCTGATGTGAACACAATGCTGAGAACACAATGGAGTTGCGATCAAGGAGACCGCAAATCGATCCGCAAATTCTTGCCTCAGCTTTCACATTCTCACCTGCGGAAGGACAATGACATTCCAATTTGAGGAGCTAAATCCTGCTAAAAAGCACGTTAAAATTTAACCTGTAAGTCCAAGGACAGATAGGAGAACAAATTTAGATAGATAGATTAACACAGTTGGAAGGGACCTTGTAGGTCATCTAGTCCAACCCCCTGCCCAAGCAGGAGACCCTACATCATTTCTGACAAATGGCAGTCCAATCTCTTCTTAAAAGCATCCAGTGATGAAGCTCCCACAACATCCGAAGGCAACTTCTGTTCCATGGGTTGGTTGTTCTCACTGTCAGAAAGTTTCTCCTTTTTAGTATATGTTTTATTTTTATTCATAAACATTTTGAATGCAGTGTATTGTCAAGAGCGTATCATTTACGAAAAAGCAAAGGAAAAATAAATAGAAGTATCAACTGATAACAATAATAATAGTGTAACAAAATAAGTTTAACTAAATTTCTCTTATTTATTTAAACTTATTTATGCTTCTGTTAATTATATCAACATGTTTATAATTATCATAGGTTGAATCTCTCCTTGTTCAGTTTCCATCCATTATTCCTCGTCTGGCCTTCAGGTGCCTTGGAGAATAGCTTGACCCCTTCCTCCTCTCTGTGGCAGCCCCTCAAATATTGGAAGGCCGCTATCCTGTATCCTCTGGTCCTTCTCTTCCCTAGACAAGCCAAGCCCAGTTCCTGCAACCGTTCTTCGTATGTTTTGACTAACTCTTAGGGCAGGGAGTCTTTAAATCTGGGAACTTTTAAGATACGGGGACTTCAATTCCCAGAATTCCCCAGCCAGCATGCCCACAAGTCTTAAAGTTGCCAAGTTTGGAAATTACTTTGCTAAGAGCCTCACAACTGCATATTGTTGAAGTCTTGTAAATTAACCAAGAGGTGGATTGGAGTGGGAGGGCAGGATGCGACTGCCAAGACTCATGCCTAAAGGGTTTAGATTATGAATTCAACGCCAAACCGGTTCAACACAAGGCCCAGCCTTTGTAATTGAGGCTTAAACCGAGAAATGGGTTAAAATCCATTTTAACTCCATAGGTTATTTATTGGTTAATTGCTATGTTCCAGAGGACAAGAATAGAAGAGGCTATATACTTTTAGGGTTAAACTGGTGTTCTATTATTACTATACCCAGATTATACAAAATTATAGTCTTTGGGCAGAATGTGTTCGACCAAGGAGTAGGACGAACACACCAATAAAAAAATAATAATTGAACAAGGTTAACCAAATTAAAATAGACAAACAGTAAAAAAAAAAAAAAAAACTAAAATCCTACAGTGCCTTTGACCTTACTGATTGAAGAGAATAGTTGTGGCTCTGGGTCAAACTGTTAGGTTCTCTCTGAGTTTGGTTGTTTTCTTGCAGACGTTTCGTGACCCAACTAGGGAACATCATCAGTGCTATAAGGGAGTAGGGTTTGTGGAAGGGGAGGAGGAGGAGGAGAAGGAGGGGAAAAGAATTATGGGGCCCTTGGTGCTCTCTGTGCTGTGCTTGGTGGTTTTCTTGCAGACATTTCATTACCAAACTAGGAAACATCATCAATGCTAAGAAGGAGTGGGGTTTGCGAGGAGGAGGACTATGGGATCCTTGTGCTCTCTGTGCTGTGCTTGGTGGTTTTCTTGCAGACGTTTCATGACCCAACTAGGGAACATCATCCGTGCTACCTCACCGTTGACCTTATTCAGCCCCAGTTGCCATGACCGACTCTTTCTGTCTTTTCGCAGCTTCCAAGAAACTGCGATGGAGAAGCTGAAGCGAACGGTGGAGCAGGCCCGGGCTGCCTTCAACACGGGCAAGACGCGCCCGTTGGCTTTCCGGATCCAGCAGCTGAAAGCTTTGAAAAAGATGGTGCAGGAGAAAGAGAAGGAATTCTCCGCAGCCATGAAGGCGGATCTCAACAAGGTTGGTGCTGTAGCATCGTTTGGGGGGGGGGGGTGTTGACGGTGGTATGGAGAATGCTGGGAGATGGATAGGATACCCAAGTAGCTGTTGGGTTGTCTGGATGCAGCTGACCTGGGCTTCCCTATTGCAGGTGGGATGAAGGCCCACTTCTGCCACAGTGTTGCTTGGGAGGTGAGAAGATAAAATTGACCACAATACACCGAGTTTCTCTTGTAAAGAAGTTAGTTGTTGAAAAGAGACTCAGGAGGGTTTCAGGAAAATTGGAGGGGAGGGTTCTGGGGAGGTGAAAGTGGGGGCTGCTGCTTACCCCTGATGATGCAGTAAGGTTTTACCCTGAAGAGGAAGAAAATATCTGGTACTGTTAGTAAAACAGAAGCTTGCCCCAGGAAATTAGGAAAGCATGAGAAAGAAAGTCAAGATTTTCCCATCCTGATTCTCTTTCATACCTGCTGGAAATATATGGTGGCTTTTAGTAAAACGGGAGGCTATCCTAGGAAATCAGGAAAGCGTGAGAAAAAAACCTCAAGATTTTCCCACCTCGGTTTCCGGATTCAAAGTTCTGATGGCCAGGCCTGTGCCCTCCAAAATCACATGACCAGATTTGGGGTGTTTTGCAACTGGCCCACATTGATGCTTGCTTTCAGTGTCCCGCAGTCACATGACTACGATTTACGTTGTTTTTTTTTCCTGGGGAGGAACATGGGCCAGTCCTGGAGTCTAGGGAAGGCTCCGACAAGTGCTCTGTGTGAGAGGTAAAGATGGGGCCAGGGCCGTCTGACGGTGATCAGCTTCCTTCGGATCAGTGGGGCAGAAGAACAGCTGGAGCCTGTTCCCAGTGTGTGCATGCACAGAGCTGCCAGGAGAAGGGAACAGTAAAGGAACAAGAGTTGATTCGGGAGTAAAAGCACAGATGGATGGTGAATGGCCCCTCCAATAGGGAATAAATAGGAGCGAAAGGGGTACGGGGTTTGCAGGAGACAATTAGTTCAATTCATTAGGGTGAAGAAGATCTGTTCCTGACTTCTTGCCAAGTGTTGTCTGCTACAGCGTGGCGTTTGGGAGCTATTGGCCTGGCAACTATTCCAGCCTGATAAAGGTCTGTAGTTGTGAAATCTCTTGAAAGACCGTTGGCCGGGACTTTGCTGGATGTGAATGAGAGGAATTCACATTAGCCTAAATAAATTTAAGATAAATTTATTGTCATTGTGCTCAGGAACCTGAGAACAACGAAATAAGGTGCTCTTTCGCAACATACAACTAAACAACACCAAAAGATGTATACAAATAACAATATAAAGCAAATTAAAACAAATAACAATTTAAAAACTGTACAACCAGGATATATGTGTTAAGACATATAACCCCTTTAATAAAAGGGGTTTTGTCTGGTTTGTGATTTTGGGAAGCCTGGGTCAGAATCTCTGCACAGACTTAGGATTTGTAAACTAAAAGCTCTTATTATTCGTTGATAAAATTTATTTGGTACCCCTCTCACTGCAAGGTGGCCTTTGCTTGTCTTTATTGATTTTCGTGTATTTATCATGCAATGTTATATCCCCCCAACTGACACAGACGTAACTCTTGCAGAGTGAATTCAACAGCTTCAGCTACGAGTTTATGATCGTCCTGGGCGAGATCGATCTGATCTTGGAGAAGCTTCCCGACTGGGCGAGCCCCCAGTCCGTGGAAAAGACCATTCTGACGTTGAATGACAAGACCTACATCCATCGTGAGCCCCTGGGCGTCACCCTGGTCATCGGGGCATGGAACTACCCTTTTGTTTTGATCATGGGGCCTCTGCTAGCAGCCATCGCTGCCGGTACGTTGTTTAGAATAGAATAGAATAACAGAGTTGGAAGGGACCTTGGAGGTCTTCTAGACCAACCCCCTGCTTAGGCAGGAAACCCTACACCACTTCAGACAAAGGGTGATCCAATCTCTTCTTTAAAATTTCTAGTGTTGGGGCATTTACAACTTCTGGAGGCAGGTAGTTCCACTGGTTAATTGTCCTCACTGTCAGGAAATGTCTCTTTAGTTGCTTCTCTCCTTGATTACTTTCCACCCGTTACTTCTTGTCCTGCCCACAATTGTTAAGCGAATCGTGGCGTTCTTCAGTTAGTAACACGTTACTAAGTGAATCCCGCTTCGCTGTTGACCTTGCCAATCAAAAGGGGATTATGTGACCCTGGGACACTGCAACCTTTTGTCATAAATAAGAGCCAGTTGCCGAGTGTCCGAATTTTGATCATGTGACCATGGGGATGTTGCACCGGTCATAAGTATGAAAAAAACGGTCCCTTTTTAAAGTGCGGTTGTAACTTCGAATGGTCACTAAATGAGCTTTTGTAAGTCAAGGACTGCCTGTATCATAAAACCTATAGCAACAAAAAAAAATATGATCTGTTAAAATAGCATTCATTTCAATTCATTCTTAAAGGTAGAATAAATACAGCTGGTTCATTTTAGTAACAATTCCAATGTCAACTCATAAAATATTTCTAAGGTCTCTTTAGAGTTGCCAACAGAAAAGGAGGGGGGAAAAGGGGGTTTGAAAGAGCAGTGCGGCAGCTTGGAAATTGAAAGTGCATTCCATACATAGTTTTTCACAGATAGTAACTAGGAGACTGAAGTTTCTGTTGGGCAAATATCTAACTGGAGAGCATGATTGATGACTCTGGGCTATGGATGTGTCCCATTGGAGAATATGAATTACGATACACCCAGGGAATGGGGGAAAACCAGGGTCAAGGGTGACAATGAATGATATGTCTCAGAGTCAGATACACCAAGGCAGTGCCGGACAGTTTAATTCCCAATAAATCCTTTTTAAGTGCTGGACGTTTGGCTAGAGTCTCATGACTTAAATGGGGGTAATTGCCAGAATCCTGACATCCAAGTTATGACGGACCACAAAAAAAGGCTACCTGCAACCCAGGTGAGTGGGAGAAGGCAAATTCACTTAAAATCTGCACGATTCACTTAATGACCCCCAAGATTTTTACTTAGCAACCGTGGTAGAAAAAAGTTGTAAAATCAGACCCGGTTCTCTTAACAACCATCTTGCTTAAGCATTGGAAACTCTTCCCCTCTCCCACATGCGATGATGTCGAACGTTACCTGTAATTTGGGTTCTGGAATGGAGCGCGGGGTTAGACTAGATCAGTGGTCGCCAACCAGTGGGCCGGGGACCACTGGTCCGCGAGAAAATTTTGGTGGTCTGCAGAGAAATGTCACCCCCCCCCAAAGCAATTAATCCAGGCTATGCAGAAACACAAGGCTGCCCCACCCACATGGCCTGCGGGAACACAAGGCTTAGGTGCTTGCATTGCGAACCTCACGAGGTAGTGAGGGGAGGGGGGAAAGGGAGAAAGGGGGGCGAACTTGCCCACGTGCCCCACATGCCTCGCTTGGCCACTGGGCTGCTTTTTTCCGCTTCTTTTGTTTGCTTTTGTCTGCATGCAAGGAAAGCAGCAAAAGTACCAAACTCCGCCAGAAATGAGTCTTTGGGACCCTGCAAGGCATCCCGCTCCAAGAGGTTGCGCCGGCGCAACAAGTCTCACAAAGACTCCTTTCTGGCGGAGTTTGGGGGAGAGAAAGAAAGACTTCTGCGGCTTCTGCTGCTTTCCTTGCATGAAGCCAAAAGTCTCTCTCTCTCTCTCTCTTCTCCCTTCTCCCTGAGAACGGAGCTGGAGACGGTATCCTGCGATCCCAAATAAAGAATGATCGATCGGTAGGAAAACGGGGTAGGGAATTTTCCTGCAGACTTTTTGGGGGATTTTCCCAGAGTTTCTGGTCCGCGGGATTTAAAATTATGAGTTTGGTGGTCCCTGAGGACTAGATGACCTCAGGTTGTCCTTTAATTCTCCTGCGTCTGATCTGTTCTTTTCAGGCAATGCTGTGGTGGTCAAGCCGTCGGAGATCAGTGAAAACACAGCCAAGGTGTTTGAAAAGCTGCTGCCTCAATACATCGACAAGGTCAGGGTGAAGAATTGTTGGCTGTGTGACTTCGCAGTGCGGTTGCCGTTTCATTTGCCAGCCGCCAGGATTTGTGTGTTTTGGAGTGGGTGGGTGGGTATGTTTCACTCCAAACAGGATAGAAAGATAAAAAAAAATAATTCCTTCATAAAGCCAGAGTCCAGCTTGACAAATAAGGGGATGTGCTGGTTCAGTGGCTTAAGACGCTGAGCTTGTCGATCAGAAAGGCCGGTGGTTTGGCAGTTCGAATCCCAAGCGCCGCGTAATGGAGTGAGCTCCCGTTATTTGTCCCAGCTTCTGCCAGCCTAGCAGTTTGAAGGCCTAGGGCATGGCACAAAGGCAACACAGATAATAAGAGTCCCTTTATTATCTCCAACTTGGCCCCCAATGTCCAGGTTACCTTCTGGTAATGTGGGCACCCCAGGTCAGGTCCTCTTTTAGGGTAACACCCAGAAACTTAAAACTGGACACTTGCTCCCCTCGGTCTCCCTTGATAAGCCAGGGCTGGATGTCTGATCTGTTCCTTCTACAATCCACTATCAGCTCCTTGGTCTAATTGGGGTTGAGGACCAAGTTATTGGCTCCACACCACGAAAGCAACCGTTGGTCCACCTCATTTCGGTAGGCAGACTCATCCTCT